CACCTTGGAAGAACTGAAAATTTACAGGTCTCTAGAAGTGTCTCTGAAAACAGCTGTACAAACCCTGGAAGCTTGGGACAATACATTCTCCACATTGGAAACAGACCTCTACCTTAATAAAGAGTTTATAACTCAAGTAATTGGCTGGGATCATGAACAAACCTTGCAAGAAACGTCAGACCATAGAGTCTTTTTTTGGTAGCAAAGAAGATCAAAACATATAACCAGAAGACAACAAAGCCAAAGCTCCTACATCCAAAGCCTCCAAGAAAAATATGAATCAGTCCCAGGCCTTGGAAGAGCTCAAAAAGGATTTTGAGAAGCAAGTAAGAGAAGTAGAGGAAAAACTGGGAAGAGAAATGAGAGTGATGCAATAAAATCATGAAAAACAAGTCAACAGCTTGCTAAAGGAGACCCAAAAAAATACTGAAGAAAATAACACCTTAAAAAATAGCCTAACCCATAAATGGCAAAAGAGGTCCAAAAAGCCAATGAGGAGAAGAATGCCCTAAAGAGCAAAATTAGCCAAATGGAAAAGGAAGTCCAAAAGATTACTGAAGAAAATACTTACTTCCTTAAAAATGAGAATAGAGCAATTGGAAGCTAGTGACTTTATGAGAAATCAAGACACTGCAAAACAAATCCAAAAGAATGAAAAATTAGAAAACAATGTGAAATATCTCACTGGAAAGACAACTGACCTGGAAAACAGATCCAGGAGAGATAATTTAAAAATTATTGGATTATCTGAAAGCCATGATCAAAAAAATAATCTAGACATCATCTTTCAAGAAATTATCAAGGAAAACTGCCCTGATATTTTAGAACCAGAGGGCAAAATATAAATTGAAAGAATCTACCCATCTCCTCCTGAACGAGAACTTTGGAATTGGTTGCGTGACATGGGAGACACTGGCACAGGACCACCCAGCAGGGCGTACCCTCATCAGAGAAGGTGCTATGCTCTATGAACAAAGCAGAATTGAAGTAGCTCAAAAGAAATTCAAGATGTGCAAATTTAGAGAATCCACTCCTAATGTTCACATGGATTATTTGTGCCCAACCTGTGGTAAAGCATTCTAAGCTTGTATTGGTCTGGTCAGCCACAGTTGGACACACTGTAACTTGACTCTAGCATAGTGATGTCATTTTGGTCCTCTTCAAGAACATAGGACAACAACCAACTCCCAACAGGTGTGTGGCTGTTGCATGCCTGAGCTCTTCTAAGCACAGAGTGTACTCTTGGAAACAGATTACTCTTCCACATGCCTCTAGGTAGGAGAGTTTGCATAACTTCATTCCTTCTGTGCCTGCTGCCTCTGATTATAGGTATAGATCTGCACTTCAAATGTTCTCCACCAGATATGCAGCAAGGGTACAATTGCCTGGAACTTGTCACTTGAAGGAACATTATCATTTCCAGGAAAATCACATACACTTAAACAATTCCTATAACCCTCTCAATAAGGTGACAGAGAAGTCAGCAAGGTAAAACATAGCAACATGCAGCTGTATAGGAGGCACGTGATTCGATTATCTTTTGTTCTGTCAGAATGCTAACCTGTCTATGAACCTACACCACACCACTGACCAGTTTGGCTGCCAGCCACCAAGCAAGTGTCTGATGCTTTCAAAAGCACAACAGATTTCAATCTTCTAGCCCCTCATTTTAACTTTATGTGAATCTTTGTGTTTCAAATGTGTTTCTTGTAAGCAACATATTAAGATTCTTTTTCTAATCTATTCTTTGACCTTTCTCCATTTTATGAGTAAATTCATGGCTATGATTGTTAACATTTTTTTCTATCCTGTCCTCTTTTTTCTTCTCTTTTATCTTACACTCACAGAGAAGGTGACAAAGAAATGGGAGTTTAGGGGCAGCTAGGTGGCACAGTGGATAGAGTACCAGCCCTGAAGTCAGGAGGACCTGAGTTCAAATTTGGCCTCAGACCAAATACTTGACACTTACTAGCTGTGTGACCCTGGGCAAGTCACTTAACCCCAACTGCCTAAGCAAAACAAAAAAAAAGAAATGGGAGTTTGCCTGAAATTTGTGATCTATAAATGGAATTGTCTGTTTCAGCTTTGTTGTAGACCTTTTCTTCCCCTTGCTCCATTCCTGACCCCCAAGTTTTTACTCTTAATTTTTTTAATCCTTCCTCCTTTCTTCCCCAATATAGTCTCCTGTCTTTTCCACTTCTGTATTCTCTTCAGACCATCAAAACAGAACAAAGCTACTCCCAGGCCTTCCCCCTGTCATACAGGGCATGCCAAAAGTCTTAGTGCAACTTTAAACTATTATTTACCTTTCTCTTTGATCCTTAAAAACATTAGAGTTCTAAGGCATTTGTTTCACACCTCCCATGAGCATGTAAACAATTCAACCCCACATGTTCCTTTTAAATTGATTAAATGTGTCTATCTCTGTTTTTCTTGACTCATACTTTTCCATTTAAAAATACTGAGTTTTCCTCTCCACTTCAGCTGAGAAAAGCTTATAGAGATGGGGAAAGTTAAGATGTGGAAGTTCAATAGAGGGCACCTATATTACTAACTTCATATGAAACCCAAGTTCTTCTGAGATGGGCCATCTTTTTCTTCTCCTTCCCCCTAAAGAATGTTCTGACTCATTTTTAGCTTCTCAAGAAACTTAGGGGTGAGGAACGGAGGTCAGAGAGACTAGCACAGAGCCCTGGCCATACTAATGCGACAAAAAGCAGGTTATCAAGGCTGGGAATGTGTTATGTGATTTCTTTTGTTAGGGTTAGATTTAGTTCTGCAAAAGCTGATATAGAGGGGCACAAGGCAGGGCAACAGTTGGTTATATTTTGAGGGTACAATTATATTCCTCAGCCAAGATCCAACACACCTGAGACTTTAGCTTAGCACTCCCGCTATATCCTTTTCCAGCTAATTACCAGTTCCACAGCTTTACTTGGCTGTACAAGAAGTAGTTAAATCAAGTCAACTAACATTTATTAAGTGCCTTCTATGTGCCAGGGCCAGGAGTGGGGAACCTGTGGTCTCGGGGCCACATGTGGCCCTCTAGGTCCTCAAGTGCTGCCCTTTGACTGAATCCAAACTTCACAGAATAAATCCCCTTAATAAAAAGATTTGTTCTGTAAAACTTGGAGTTAGTCAAAACGCTGGTGTACCTTAGCACCCAGGCCCGTCCTAAGCACTGAATTACACAGGAAGGCAAAAAACAATCCCTACTCTCAAGAATCCCATAGTCTAATGAGGGAAACAACTCGCAAACAACTATATACAACAAGCTACATACAGGATAAATTGAGTGTAGTCTAAGAGAGAAGGCATTAAGACTTTACTAAGAAGACTGGGAAAGGCTTCTTGCAGAAAGTAGGATTTTAGCTGGAACTTGAAGGCAAGTCAAGCAAACCAGGAGGCAGAGATAAGAAGGGAGCATGGGGGTTGGGGATAGGGTGAAAAAACACAGTTGAGAAATGAAGTGATTGGAGATCAATGTCCCTGGATTATAGAGTAAGTGGGAAGTTGTAAAGTGGGAGAAGACTGAAAAGGAATGTGAGAAGTATCAGGTAATGAAATCCTTTGAATGCCAGAGGATTTTATCTTTGATCCTTAAGGTAATAGGGAGCCACTGAAGCTTACTGAATAGGTAGATGACATGATCAGATCTACCCTTTAGCAAGATTAATTTGATTGGTGTAGGTGTAGGATAGACTTAATTTGAGAGAGTCAAAGGAGAGAGACCAATCAAAAGAATATAGCAATGTACCAAGGTGGTGGCAGGATCAGAGGAGAGAAGGGGATGTTTTAAGAGGTAAAATAAACAGGACTTGGTTACAGATTGGATATGAGGGGTTGGTGAGAGTAAGGAGTTAAGGATGAGATTTAGATTGTGAGCCTAGGTCACTGGATGGTTATGCTTTTAGAAAATTTGAAAGGGAAGAGGTTTTTTTTGGGTGGGGAAAGGTAACGAATTCAGTTTTGGACAGGCTGAGTTTAAGATGTGAGGGAATATACAGTTCGAAATGTTTAATAGGCAGCTGAAGATGCAAGTCTGTAGGTCGTTGCTAGATAAGTGGACTGAAGAATCATCAGCACAGAAATTGAGTCCATGACAGCGGATAAGATCACCAAATGAAATAGCACAGAGGAAGAAATGAAGGTCTAGGACAGAGTTGGGAGATAAAACGTCCTGTGCAAGGAACAGCAAGAAAGTCACTATCACTGGATCACAAACTAAGTGGAAGGGAGTAAGGTATAAGAAGACTAGAAAGCAGGAGGGGCCCGGTTATGAAGAGCTTTATAAGCCAAACAGAAGATTTTATATTTAATCCCGGAAGCAAGAGGAAGCCGCTGGAGTTTTTAAGTAGGGAGGGAGTGTGTCTGACACTATCAAATCTTCTCTTTAGGAAAATCACTTTAGTGGCTGAATGGAGGATGGATCGGTGGGGAAAAGTTCTGGGCGGGCGGACCCCGCAGCAGGTTATTGCAATAATCCAGGGCCTGTGGCAGCGTCAGAGAGCAGAAGGGGGGTACAAGACACGGTGCAAAGGTAAACTCGACCAGCCCCGGCTACAGCTTGGACAAGGGGAGGAGGGGATGATTCGGGATCATTGCAAGGCTGGGAGTATGAGGGACTGGGAGGATGGTGCTGCCCTTGACAGTGATGGGTAAGGTAGTTGGGGGAGGGTTTATGGAGGACGGATAAGAACGTCGATCAAGATGGGCCGCACAAAAAGACCAGCCCGGCCGGTCCGTCTGTGGCTGGGAAAGGCCGGGGCCGGTGAGGTAGGGATTAGAGGCCGGGCTGGGGAAGCTGCTTCTCGGCGTCCTGAGCCCGTCCCTCGGGTCAGCGGGCCGGCTCTGTCCGTCTCCGAGGAGGGCGGCGGCCCCAGCAGACGAGGCGCTCGGGTCTCGCCGCCGGGGCCGCCGCATCCCCTCAGCCCCACGACGCGCCGGAGCACGGAGGAGGACACTTCCGGGTTTCCTAGAGTGGTCGAGAAGCGACACCCGGAAGGGAATGCGGAGAGAGCTTCCGGCCATTGTTCTGTCCTTCTGGCGTGCGTGGCTGGAGTTCGAAAGGTCCTGCCTGTTTCCCGGTCCTCTTGCCTCTGGTCCCCGCCGCCCACGGCCGGGTTCTCAGCTCTTCTCCCTGGACTGCTCCGGGCTCCCGGTGAGTGCGGCGGGGACTGAGGGCAGGGGGGCTCCCAGGCCTGTGGGGGTGCGGGGCGGGGGGAAGGCTCTCCTTTTTTACGGCCCCACGGGGTCTCCCAAACCGGCGCCGGGGGTGCTCCTCCGTCCGTTCCCCATCCCTCTTGTTCCCCCTGTTTCCTTCCTCTCTCCCCCTTCCATGTTTTCCCCTCCACTCTCCTTTCCCTTCCCGTTCTCCTGTTTCTCCTCTCCCCACTTCCCTCCCGTTTCTCTCTCCTCTTCCCTCTCCCTCCCGTTTCAATCTCCCGTTCCCCTCCCCTTTTCCCCACTCTCCCTCCCTTCCCTTGTTTCTCTCCTCCTGCCTTCCCCTGTTTCTCTCCTCCCATCCCGTGTTTCCTCCTCTTTTTCTGTGTTCCCTTCCGCCCTCCCCCACCTTTGGTGCGTACTGCCTTCCTCCTCCCCCGGCCTGTGCAGCGAGGGGCTATGGGAGAAGGGTCAGGAGGCTTTGTGGGGTGAACCTTCACAGGACTTCTTCTATGTTTATCAGAAAAAAAACAAAAACAATCAGCTGGGGCATTTAGCAGCTCAAAGAGGGTTGCAACCTCTTGGCAACTTCCAGTACTGGTAGCAATAACAACAATCATTTTAAGATTTACAAAGCATTTTCTTCACAGAGACCTTGCGGGGGAGGTAAGTTAAACAAGTAATATTATTCCAATCTAGAATAATAATGGAGATTATTAATAATAATGGAGAAACTGAGGCTTGAGAGGTTCCTTGACTTGACCAAGGTCACAGCCAGCAAGTAAATGACAGAGCCAGGATTCTAGCACAGGACTCCTGACTTCTTTCCACTTTTACACAATAATGATAACTTAGGAAAATATTTCATTTTACCATAAACTACTTGAGACCACAGGATGTAACCATGATAATAACAATAATAATTCTAGAAGGGACCTTTGAGACTGTCTAGTCCAACCTCATTTTATAAATGAAGAAACTGGAGGGAGAGGTTATAAAGCAGTCAAAAACAGGTCTCTTTAAACTTTTGGATGAAAAACCTGAATGTAACTTTACATAGAAACACAGGAAGATGATTCCTGAGTTTGCCATTCACTTGTTTGGAATCTTAACCTTTCTTCAAAGCTTTTAAGTCAAGTACTACATCCTACATAAAGTTTGTTATTTCTTTAATCTTATAAAATGATTAAATAAAATGAAATAATATTTGAAAAGTACTTAGCACAGTTCCCCAAACATTGTAGTTGCTATATAAATGCTTATTCCCTTCCCTTTACCTTCCTCTCTTGTTTTAATTTAACTGTGTATAATGTTTTATTTCTTCCTTCCCCCAGGGAATGTAAGCTCCTTGAGGGCATGGGCTGTTGTTTGGGGATATTTGTTTTGAAATATCCACTTTACCTATTACAACCTTGCATAGAATAGGTAATTGATAAATGGTGAATTGAATTTCTTTGTAATGAAGATGGACACATACTCACCTGTAGCTGTCTTTGTACCATAATTTTCTCAGCACCACACAAAAATGAATCCCTAATTTCAAGACCACACAGAAAGACACTTATTGAACACCTTCAAAGCCTGACATAAGATACAGGTGTAACTGATATCTAATTACTCTTACTTGAAAATGTAGGCATTTTCCCAAAACAACAAAAATTAGTTCATGTGTATTAGATTACTATAAATGATTCACTGATTAAAAATGAAATTTACATGACCTTCTTTAATTTATAAATGAAATTTCCGTGACCTTTAATTCATTTTGTTCTCACACAGCATATGCACCAAATAGAATGAACGTGCCTTTGTGTACTGCTCTTTCTACCTGGCTATCATTCTCCCTGTTTTTGAGGAGTGGGATTGGTAGGTGCATTGGGGAGGTTCTTTGATCCCCCATGAGGATTTTTTGAGGTAGAGCAAGGTCCCCAGCTGTTGGAATGAAGTGCAGACTTTTGCTTTCATTGAAAAGTGTTGATTGGTACCAGTTCTGGGGACTCATTCTGAAGAATGTCTTTTAACTTCCACCTTTGTTTTCCTTGTAATGAGGAATGCATCAGAGCCTTAGTCTCTTAAGTTTCTGTCTCATTTCCTCATTTCCTTTCATCACAGACTCTCCTCATGAATGGATTTGGCATCTGTTGTGCTGAAGTAGCTTTAGAAATAGTAGAAATGAGTAGTGAGAAGTAGTAGTAGTAGCTGCAGGCTAAGAATGAGGGAAACAAGGATGAGAAGTTTTGTTCACTTTAGTTCTATTCTGGACATGACTGGAACTTAGAGTTCATTCACTTTATTATGATGGGAAGAGCTCCTTAGCATGTTGTTGTTACTAGTATTTGAGAAGCAGAATAACATTATGACTAGAGTGCTGAACTTAAGTCAAGAAAATAAAGACATGAAATCTGCCTGAGATTTTCTTTCTGTGTGGTCTTGGGCCTCTTAGAACCCTAGTTTCCTTATCCATAGGATGGCTTCAGTAATACTTATACAACTTACTTCAAGAGATTGTGAGATCTTTGTACTTTGCAGATCTTAGAGAACTTTGTAAACATGACCTGTTATTTCTAGCTACCTGTCTGAATTAGGATGTTTTAAGAATCTCTGTAAAAGTGGATACCAAACCATCTCCTGAGTATTTTCCCTCCTTTTGATGCTAGGTTAGGGCCAGTAGGCTGTAATGTTGAGGCAAAAAATTGTTTCTGCATTGAAAGGAAGGGGGCAGAAACCAGTTTTCATTGTTTCTGGTATTCTTCACTGGGATGGCTACCGAGTCTGCTTTGGGTCCCAGTCACAATTAAGTCTTAACTTCTCTGCTAGGTATTAAGGTTAAAAGAAGTCTCTTGTGGACATAAGGGCAAAAGGCATTCAAGCTGAATTGTGGCATAAAACATCAAGGGATAATTATCCCCCTCCTTCAGTGTTTGACTACTGTTCAGATCCGGAGCTGGAGCTTCCACCTGGAGACTGAAGCTTTATTCTGACAACGCTTCTGGTAGCAACTAGGAAAGAAAGTGATAGGGATAAAACTAGAACAATATAGAGTCACATCGTTTCTGATACGATAATTCTGAATAATCTCCCTCAATGCAGTGGTCCACAGCACAGTCGATTAGCATTAACTAGTACTGTGACCCACAGAAATTTACAGTGGAGGAAGAAGGAGGGTTAAAGGAAGACTGCTCCCCGAACAGCCAAAAGCTCTCAGAAAATTTTTTGCTTCAAAAGAAAAAGTAGATGCTGCTACCCACAGAATCTGAAAAGATCCTGTCATGTGCTTTGTGATTATGGATAGCTTATAAAAAGAGGTTTGAACCCAGAGTTGAACTTAAAGGAAGGTTCGCTAGCCCTCAGACCAGGGGTGATAGTTAATGGAGTGAAAAAACCAGGAACTCATCGAATTTAATTCCAAATCTAGAAGAGTTAGAATTCTTGTGTAACCTAGGAAAGTGATGTTGTTTTTAAAGTTATAACTTGAAATAACTTCATGGGAAAAAACCCAAAACCTGATGAATTTAAACAATTGACATCACTCTTTGTTCACATCTAATGTATATTAAATGTGTACTCTTTTTTTACTTAATTCCATATAAATATTTTCATTTTTTTACTTAATTCCACATAAACATTTTCATATATAGACAGAGGCACTTATTTTTAATAGCTAGTAGTACAGTATTTATCTGTGCATTGGGTTGTTTATGATTTTTTATTAATAAATCATATTTTAAGTGGGAGTGGTTTGAGACACACAGGTGGTCTTGGGACTTGGAAATGAAAAGGAATTCAATTAGTATTGATTACTTTGATTTATTTTTAGTTTGATTATAGGATTAAACTCCTTTCTTTAGGAAAAGCTAGCTCTAACAGTTAAGCCAGACTAAACAGAGTTGCTTAAGTCTCAGTTATCTATAGATTTAGTGAATAGATAAATTGAGAAGACTTTATCATTTAGAGGCAGATAATTTAGAATAAGACATAATAAAATAATCATAGGATTATTCTTTTTAAAGGCTGTTTCCCTTTTTAGCAGAAATTGGGGTTTATCAGAGGCTAAGTTCCCCTTTCTGGCATCTGGAGAAAGATTAGCCAGAGGTGAAGTTCCTTTTTCAAGTCTTAATGGATAAGCTCCTTTTTTTCTTGAGCTGGTGTGTAAGTTGAGCATCTTCTAAGGAAGATAGGGGGTGGGGTGACTGCTAACTACTGACCACAGGTTTCTCTTTCCCAGTACACTTTCTGGTCACAAAAGGCACCATCACCTGTAAGAAGAGGACTTCTGGGTAGGATTAAGAACACCTTGGGAAAGCTAACTAACTAGTCAGGTGACCTGCCTTGTCTAGTTGAATTATGTTCAAAACAAGATTCTGTCACTTTTTTATTCCTCTTTTCTGTTATAAAAATCAGTTCAGTAAATCATTCAGGGTCTCTGACCTTTGAGGAGTCAAGTGACCTGATTTGATAGGCAGATCATAGATGGCTTGGTAACTTTGACCTCGGTTTCCTTTATATTTCAGAAAATTAATTCTAACAGAAAACACTAGTCTAGTCACAGCTGCCCTTTTCCAGCATTGCATTAGAAGACTCACACAATCTCAGAATTAGAAGAAACTCAAGAGACAATTTAGCCTAATTCATACCTGAACAGGAATACCGGGTACTAAAAAGTAGTCATCCAGCCTTTTCTTGAAGACTTCCAGTCAGCCCTCTTGAAGGAACCTGTCCTGCTTTTGAATAGCTCTAATTGTTAGGAAGTTTTACCATACATCAGATCTAAAAAATTCGTCCTCAGCAATGTCTTCCCATTGCTTCTAGTTCTGACCTCTGGGCTTAAACAGAATGAGTCTAATCTCTCTTCCTTGTGACAGCCTTCAAATATTTGAAAACAGCTATAATATTTCCATCCCTCTTTAAGTTTTCTCCAGGCTAAACATTCACATTCACATGTGACATGATTTTTAAGCCCATCCCCATCTTTTCTGCCCTCCTATGGATGCACTACAGTTTATCAGTGTCTTAGATTGTGACATCCAAAACTGAACATGATACTCCACTAATAGACCTGGCTGACTTTGATTCCTTGCTCTGTAACTTGCTTATTGTGTGACCTTAGTCAATCACTTATCTCTCTGAGCCTCAGTTTTCTTTTTTGCAAAATGAGTAATACCTACCCTGTAAAATTGTGCTGAAATGAGATATGAATATAATTGTATTTGTAAGGTATTACATAAATATAAAGTATTCTGGAGGTATTTCCTGTGGTTGTCTTTCCTTAAACTTTTTTTCCCATTGTGTTTTCCCAGTGTCATTAGAGACACATTCCTTGTGTATTGTACTCTGATAGAAGAAAGGAGTTCCAGAGCATCCCATGGAAACACAAGCTGATTGTGTGTCTCAGGAACCTCAGCTCCTGCTTGAGAATGGTGAGGAGCATAGATTCCTATGAGAGACAGAAAACTTTCTCCACTGTGGTGAGATAGAGAACAGTGGTAATGCAGAATGAAGGGGTTCTTCAAGAATGGGCATTGAGAAGGTCTCAGCAGCAAGTATTATTTGGATCTAGAATTACTTAGGATTCTGTAGTAAGGACATTCTTCCTATGAGATCCTGGTCTTTTTTATCTGGATTGGTTAAATTATCAGGCTGGAATCACAGGAGAATCATTAGCACTGCTAAATCCTATTCCTTATGCAGTCTTGCTGACTCCATTTCAACAGAAGCCTGTGCTTTTAAAGAGCTGGAATTCTGAAATATGTTGCTTGGGATTATTCCTTAGTTTACTCACAGGAGTAGGAAATAGTTGGTTGCCACAAGTATATTATATTGACTCTTGCCTATTATATGGAGTTTTCATTTTGAGTTAGTATGGTATTACTTCACCCATAGTGGGTGGTGTTTATAGGGTTTTCTCACTCATCATTAGGAAGCACTGTACAAAGTCATAGCCCTTGTGTATAAGTTGTGTATAACTCATTGGCACAAATATGCACATAGAAATTATCAAATAAAAACAGTGAAATAGGAATTTGCATTGTATTTTATACTCTTTGGGGGAAGAAAGTTTTATATCCCCAGCCAGGGCTGGACTAGTTGAAACTGTTAGCTTTCCTTTTAAGACCGATGAGGAGTGGAAGAGAGACAGGTGAGTGGGAAGATCAGGAGTATTTGGCAGAGCTTGAGATAGGACAGAAATAGGGTAAGACAACTCTAAGGGAGCATTGAACTGGTTTCCCGAAGAGAGGATGGGCTGAGGAGAGAATAGAGGAGGAGAAGTGAGATGGTCCAGGTGGCCTGATGAAAAGTTAGTATCCAAGGACTTTCTCTTTGGACTTTGCACCTCATCTCTAATAGTGCAGGAAACAGTCGCAGTAAGGACCTAAGTCAAAGCAGAATTTCCTTACCTCTTGAGATGTAAGAAAAATGATTGCTTTACTCCCTCTGTTGAAGAAGCAGTATAAAAGGCTAACAGAAGGAAGATGAGCATCTCAGTCTTTGTCCTGTGTCGTTTGTTTGGCAATAGGACATGTAGTTTAAGAAGCACTAATGATAGTATTGAGTGGAAATGAATTTATGAGGACAGTTGAGGGATGGAATATGTGCAGAGTCACATTTGTACATTGATGGAGATGTATTTTAGAAATTAGAGTTAAGTTTTTTAAGGACGAATACTCAGAGCTGTAGCTGTACAAATACTACATGTACTTGATAAAAGCTAGTTGAGGATTTAAAATTAACTACAAGTCAGGTATGTGGGAAGAGAATCTTCCTGGGTTCCAGTGAATTTTTTTTATTTAGGTTGGGGGAGTGGCAGGGCAAAGATAGACTTATTTATTACTTTTTTTCCCCCCTCAGCTCCACCTTCTCCCAAAGTTTCTGCTTCTCATGATAAAGGTAACCTGGGAGACCAGATGCTGGCAGCTGCACTTCTAAAAGCCAAGTCTCAGGTGAGCTGTGGTTTCACTTGTCCCACTCTTACCTAAAGGTGACTTCACTTCTTATTGAAAATTTTCTACCAAGTAATATCCTATTTTGGGTCCTGATCCTCATTTCTGTTCCCAGGTATGCAGTCCTTTCTTGTTGGGTGAGGGAAATCTGTATTTGCTGTTTTCTGATTCATTTCTGGTTTTACTTCACTAATACTCACTTCATGTCATCACCCTATCTAGAACTCTTTACTCAACTTCACTTCCTAACCCTATCCCATGGTTTTAGAATTACACATGTTTTTACAGGAACTGGTGACGTTTGAGGATGTAGCTGTGTACTTCATTCGGAAGGAATGGAAACGTCTGGACCCTGCTCAGAGGGACCTCTACAGGGATGTGATGTTGGAGAATTACGGGAATGTGTTTTCACTGGGTATGAAACATTGAAGTCCTTTAAAAAAGAGAAGGGTTAACCCTTTCCATGTGAAAATACACTGACTGTGCCCTTCTGCTATGTACATGAGAACATTATTGGGCTCTAGCTAGTTTCTTACATTCCTCATATGTCAGGTTGCCTATGGTAGACCTAGGTCACCTTGTTCTGGCTCTAATATAATTGTCTCTAGTTAAACATTTCTTAATAAAGACAGGGAACATAAACTTACCCTTGTAGGAACAGATTATAAACTTGACCCTATCTCAGCTTGCTCTTGAGAGCATATTTCTTTTGGTTCACCCAGTATATTTTTTCTCCATCTGCTCTCTGTAGATAATGGGAATAAGATTGAGTCCTGGAGCAGCTCAGTGTGAGCAGCACAAACTTTTCTGTCAAATTTCTTTCCTTATGAGCAGGCTTTCCATTTCCAAATCCTGAGATAATCTCTCACCTGGATGGAGAAGAAGAGCCATGGGTCCTGGATTTGAAGGGAACTGAAAGCCAGGGACTCCAAAGTGCCTCTTGTATAGGTGAGTAAGGGACACACAGTCATCCACATCTTTAATATTTAAGTGATTTACAGACTTAAAATACTAATTATTTAGCTCATTCATAGTTGTCTCCTTTGCCTTGAACTTTCTGTAAAAAAAATCCCATGGTAATAAATAAATAAATAAATAAATAAATAAATAAGTAAATACAGAATGTGAGCACTGAGCTTCCTTTCCTGACAGGGTTAATGTGCCCATATAAGCATGGGTCCTAAGATACGCCAGAAATGGACATAACTATCTATTGCCACCCCTTTGTTTTGCATATATATATGAGGCAACTAACCTGCAAGCAAGCCGGGGACAGGGTTCTGCAGGAAGTAGGAGAGCCTCATCTTTTTTGATACAGTTTCCCCACTTATCAACCTTATCAACCTCTTTAGCTCCAGGACCCTGTGACAGCTTTTCCTTACTACTTATGAATTTCTTTTCCAATTACAACTTCCCATAATCATTTCTCCATTCTTTTAGATTCTTCTGCTAGCTTATTCCTACATCTTACTTGATAGGTTCTTCTTCATTATTTACTTTTTTCCAGTTTGCTTATTTGTCCCTTGGCTTCTCTGCCTAATAGTTTGACTACTATAGCCCACTGCCCATTCAGTTCCATCTTCTTACTTGGCTTTGTGTGCTAATATGAATACTTCTGGGCTTTGCTGACCTTTACCAACCTTATTTTCTCTTACCTGAATATCCATAATTCTCCATATTGCCCTATCTCCCTACCTATTCTGTAAAACCTTTTGGCAGCACATAAAAGCTCTATGCTCTTAGTCCTGGATATATTAATGATACCTGATTTTTTTCCCTTTCTTTTTTACTTTCTGTTCTTTTCACTGAAGAGAATGTTTTCTGTTTATTGTGTCAGATGGTGAGACCAGAACTAGGAATGATCAAGACATTTCTGAAGCTGCAGAATCACATGGGGTGATACTGGGAAGATTCCAAAAAGATGTTCCTTCAAGTCTCAAATTTGGAGAAGCCTGTGAATGGGAAGGCAATTTAGAGAGGCACCTGGGAAACTCCATGGAGGAAAGACTGAGGAGAAAGATGGGAGATCTTAGACAAGTAATAGTTGAGGATCAGAAAAGCCCCACAGGTGAGAGAGTCCAGCAGTACAAAGAATTTGGGAATAGTTTTAGTCTTAATTCAAACCTTGTCATACATCAAAGAGGTTCTGTGGGAGATAAACCCCATAAGTGTGATGAATGTGGCAAAAGCTTTAATCGAACTTCAGACCTCATTCAGCATCAAAGAATCCACACAGGGGAGAAGCCCTATGAATGTAATGAGTGTGGGAAAGCCTTCAGTCAGAGCTCACACCTTATTCAGCACCAGAGAATTCACACTGGAGAGAAACCTTATGAATGTAATGACTGTGGGAAAACCTTCAGTTGTAGCTCTGCTCTTATTCTACATAGGAGAATCCATACTGGAGAGAAGCCCTATGAATGTAGTGAATGTGGGAAAACTTTTAGTTGGAGTTCAACCCTTACTCATCATCAGAGAATACATACTGGGGAAAAGCCTTATGAATGTAATGAATGTGGGAAAGCATTCAGTCGGAGCTCAACCCTTATTCATCATCAAAGAATTCATACTGGAGAGAAGCCCTATGAATGTAATGAATGTGGAAAAGCCTTTAGTCAGAGTTCACATCTTTATCAGCATCAGAGAATCCACACAGGAGAGAAACCCTATGAATGTAGGGAATGTGGTGGAAGATTCACCTATAGCTCAGGTCTTATTCAGCATCAGAGAATTCATACAGGGGAGAATCCCTATGAATGTAGTGAGTGTGGGAAAGCCTTCAGGTATAGCTCAGCTCTTGTTCGTCATCAGAGAATCCACACTGGAGAGAAATCTTTGAATGTGATGACTATGGGCAAAGGTTCCATCAGAGTTGCTGCATTAAATATCAGAGAATCCATCCACATGAGAGAGTGAGAGTCTGCTGCTCCAGTAAATACATTTAATGCAAGAAAATGTTTGATTAGAGCATGTTCTTGGAGTTCTGACAGACTCTATCCTGAGGAATATTCTATGAACATGAAAAATGTGGAAAGTTTCCTCTTAATTGGAATTCTGCCACCATAAAATGAAGTGTATTGGGCAAGATACCCCAACTTCTGTCCCATCAAGGCCAATGAAGAGGGGCCAGCAATCTAGGTACCTTTCCCCAGGATTGGTTTCAGTTATGAAAGTAAAACTCCCCAAAGAATAGTTGATTGAATGTTAAGCATAGAAAGGGGCTCTGGTCCTGATATTTCTTGGAAAGGAGTTTACCATTCACCATTATATATGTATAAATATACACAAGAGAAACTTTTTTGGAAGAAAGAGCTTTCATGACCTCATTTTCGGCAAGTAGATTGTAGAGGTGAAGATATTGATATTGTTAGGAAGGGAAAATGTAGGCTGTGTCTCAAAAGCTAGGTTTTCTAATATTTACTAAAGGGATTTCCCAGCATACCACTAAAGGAAGTGTGGGAGAGGGTAATATGGGTCTTGAGGAATGTGGTTATCACCATTCAGAGAGGGAAAAGTTTGGGTCTCATTTTTCCTTTTCAGGAGTATGGTAGCAGTTCTTTTTCTTGAGCCAGGATGGGTTTCCAAGCTTCCTAGATTGTTTTCCAATCCTTATCTCCCCCCCCCAGTACAAATGAAATGCTGTTTCACTTTTTCAGTCTGTTGAAACATGTTTCAGTGTGATTGAATATGAATACGTATTTGTGAGGGTTCAAGGATTTCTTCCCTTTCTGCCCATACCCCAAATAAACGGGAAATATTAGCTACCTGTGGCTGTGGATTTGACCTTTAAAAAATACCCAGTTTGGCCATACTCATTGTCCCTCATTTTTCCATTCCTTTTCAGAGTCCCAGCACCTGTCATCTGTTTTTTGTGTGTGCACAGAGCATTGTGCATGCACTGGGGAAGATGATCAAGGTTAGCTGAGACAACCCTAGCCCTGGAACTTAGCCTTGTAGGAGAGAAAACCACATAACTATAATCTGTGAGGAAGCTGCCAAATTGCTGACATACTGCACTTGGATGTTTGCAAAGTGCTTAATGTGATCTCAGCTTCATAACCCTCTGACGTAAATTATTCTCATTTAACAGGAAGAAATAGGTTGAGAGAGATTTAAGTGTTTTGCCTGTGGTCACACAGCTAGGATCAAAGGGAGAATTTCAAGTTGGTTTGCTATGCCTTGTGCTTGCTCTAAGTGTAACAAAATGCTATATTGGGGCTAAGGGGGGAAACAACATAAGAGAATCTGGAGGATCTATAAGAGGAAATAAGAATCAGGGAAGTCATCAAGGAAAGGTGGCATTTGAGTTGGGCTTGAAGGTCTGCATAGAATTACAATAGGAAAAAAAGGCAGATAGTAGGCAAAGGAAACAGCATTAGTAAAGGCACAAGTGGGAGGCAGAGAAGGCTGGAAAAATAAGATATTGCCAGGTTATGGAGGGTCTTAAATGCCAGGCAAACAAGTCTAACCCTTATTTGGCATCAGAGAGCCACAAAAGATTTGATATGGCCACATCTATGCACAAGAAATTACTTTATCAGAATTATGAATGGTGGGTTAGGGTGGGAAATAGTCTAGGTGGGTGATAACTAGGTGGGTGATAGTGAGGGCCTGTGAAGATGGCCTTGAACATAGGGAATGGATTTGAGAGTTGTTTCAGAGATGGGATTAGTAAGATTTCATTAACTGATTAATTAGATATGAAAGATAAGGGAGAGAAGGAAAAAAAAATAAGGTTCTGAACATTAGAAGCTGCATGAATAGGGGTGCCACAGATAGAAATAATGAAGCTAAAAGAGGAACAGTAAAGTTGAGGGGGAAATAATATGCTTAGTTTTCTACATACTGAGTTTGAGGTACTAGTAAGTACCTTTGTGTGCCTTTAAGATGTGCATCTAAAACTCAGATCAGAATTAGAAATAGAGATTTGGGGGTAACCTGCATAGAGGTGAGAATAAGATTGCTAGGAAGGTATAGAGGGAAGAAAAAGGGGGCCTTGGACAGACACTTAGAATACCCACATGAAGGATCAGAAAGGATATAGGAGAGTTGGATAAGGACTGACCAAAGGCCATTGGTTTTGTGATAAGCAGGTCTTTGGTAACCATTGGGATTTCAGTTTCAGGCAAGTGTTGCTTTTGGAAAACAAATGTATTTTGAGTAAAATGGAATGTTAAGTGGATGAAAGTAGAGGATGTAGGAAGGCTTTTTTTTTTTCCAGTTTTATGATTAGAGAAGATTAATTATGGTGATAATAATAGGCAGCTGGGGATAAAAATAATGACAGGCAGGTGGGAAGGAGTCAATGGAGAAAGAGGAGCCAAGTGAAGATTGGGGATGACTAATGGATTAAGTCTTGGAAGAGGCAGAAGAAAGTGATAGTAATACATTTCCATTAAAGGTTTGCAAAGCTTTCCAGGTTGAGGATAATGCAGATTTTAATAAATAATTTATGGAAGAAATGGAAAAAAAGCAGGTTATAATGCTGAGAATATTGAAAACTGGAGAAGAGGGATCCTGACAGTTTGTGTCAAATGGCCTCAATCTTTAGTGGAGTATAGGGGAAAGTCACTTGATATAAGTGGGTTGGGAATGTGATAGGCAACCAGAGTGAAGGGAGGGAGGATTGGGAACAGTTGCTCTTAGGGAATGAGGCAATTTAAGGTAGAGTTGGATTGTCAAGAATTCAAGCATTAGCTATGAAGCCCAGCTAAAGTTCTAGATCTCAAATTTTGTGTGGTTTTTAAAAATTGTATTATCTAGAACTGGAAGGAAACTTTAGGAGTTTCCCAGTCCAAGCCCACCATTTAAAGATTGAATTGAAATCCTATTCTCTGACTCCAAATCCAGGTGTTTTCTACTAAACCACACTACATTGTGCACTTGTTTGTCACAATCTCCTCTGACATGTATGTGACACTGTTAATATTAATTTACACACATTTTTGTACATATTCAGCTGTCCCCCTGTTCTTAACTCAATCCTTGCTCAGCAGTACTCTTAATGGAACAGTGGTAGGACAGAGACTACAAACCTTAGGTAAAGTGTTGGCACTGGGTTTGGTTGAGGCCAAGAAGTTTAAAAGGAACTTCCAGCATCTTTGGGGTTTTGGCTTGGCTACCCAGTTCAGAAGTTTTTGGTTGTTGATGGAAGTAGTTAATGCAGTGATGGGGACCAAAGCCTAAGAAGACAGGTTGGTAATTCAGATAGATTTCTTTGAAGGGTTTCTGATCTGGGTGTTATCCTGAATGCTGACTTTATAACTTAATAGACTTTGCCTCTACAGTTAACTATAATTAGACATTTGGACACTTAAAAGTCATTCAGATGCATAATATGTGTACAGCACTTTGCTAGACTTTATAAGGGATACAGAGATGTAGAAGACATCCTTGTCTTCAAGGGAAGGAAAGAATAATTATGTATAATTAAAATAGTAAATTGAATGGTACAGAATAAAAATGCTAGAGACCAGAAAATGGAGCAGTTAATTCTGGTTGAATTATTTGGGGAAAGGTTTTGTGTTGGAACTGGGATTGAAGTGCGTCTGGAAAGTAGGGCAGGATTTACGTAGATAGGAATCTTCCAGATGGGGCAACAGCATGAGCAGGGACTTGGAATCTGCTGTAAGCTAGCAGAAGACATGGGGACCAAGCCATTGCATTGGAAGGTTGGACACGGCCACCTTGGAGGGTCTGATACAGAACTGCATGGCATCTTAGAAGAAATCTAGCCCCAACTCCTTATTTTAAAGAGGCAAATGTGTAAACCCCCATCTCTGATTGCTCTTTACTCTTGTTTCCCCTTCCCCATCCTCCGACTCTGATCTCAGCCTGACTGTTGAGTGATTCTTGAATAATAATGACAGTTTTCGCATAGTATGTAGACAAATAATTTGAATTGAATGCCCCATGACACGAGTGGCTCCAGTTTGATGGTTGACCACTTCCTTGAAACTTGACTCCATGACACTACACTGGTTTTATTCTTCTCTATCTGATTATATCTGAGATGTCCTTTTCCTCATCCTGCTCGACCAACTGGATATTCCCAATAATTGCTGTTTTTTTCTCCTTCAGCTTTTCTCTCATCTCCCTCAGATATTTTATCCAGATCCATTGCTTCAACAACCACCTTTATGCCTTTCATTTCCATTGATGAAATCATATCTGTTGCTGATACTCAACAACTTGACAGTGGGCCTTTGGTGGGTTGACCTTTTCTGGATCTTCAGTAGCTAAGTTGCTGAGGAAGTGGGGGTTTAGCATCTGCATAGACAGTTGCTCCATTGTGTCACCATGTGACCAGTACTGGAGAACACTGCTACTCTACAGGGTCCTCAGCCAAAAGATAGTCCTTGGGCAACTCCTCAGTACTCTGTTAAATCTTTCCGTAACCTTAAGAAGACCATAGTCTTAGACTTTTGCAGTCAGAATAACTCAGAAGTAGTGGAGGAAGGTATCTAGGTTGCTCTTCAGCTGCTGGTTGCTGAAATTGTGGCTCAGATCTGTTAACAGCTGGATCAAATCATCCCCAATACCATGATTTATTATTGTGGATGGGTCATAGCTACTTGGGCCAAGGATATTCTTCACCTCCACACAATTCTTTATAGTCCCAAATTAGGTGTTGCTTTATGTCCATGACTCTCAAAGAGACAACGTAAGTCTCAAACAAAGGCTTTAAAACTGTTAATCTCCCCAGATTTATTCCTCATATCCTTTACTCTTCCCTAGTTTAAAATTTCTGGGCCTTCTAGATCACACCACTGGCAGAATGAACTGTCTTGGTGTAGTGCAGAGCAGGGCATTGCCTGCCTAATGCTCTCAATGGCCATCTAAACCAGATTAAAAAGCAACTGGGTACTTTTAATAAATGCAACAAAATATAGATAATATGTGGCTTTTCAGTCAATATGCACTCTGCAGGGATCCTTGTTTATGGGTTTAGTAGCCCTTGTTTCTGTGAGTTTGACACCAGTGGGGTAGTGGATTGGGTGCTGGACTTAACAGTTAGATCAGGAAGACATGGGTTCAAATCCTGCCTCTGGATACCTTTCAGATCTTCCCTGAAATGTACCCAGGACTGAAGCATGAGGTTTGACCAGGGCTGAGTATGGCAGGATTATTACCTCTTCAGTCCTGGCTATTTTGGCTTCTGTATCAGAGCTGACTATATTGAGTTTGTGATTCACTAAAACTTTTTTTTTTTTTAATATGGACTACTCCATGCTTCCCTTAACCTGTTGATGAAGTTGATATGAATGCATATCAATTCTGGTTATTTCTCTTGACATGGAAGGCTTCACATTTGATAAGCAGTTCACCTGGTACAGCAGTTTCCCTCTCTTAAATACCTACCTTACAGTCTTCATAAGGAGACCACAGCAGTGTGTACTTTCCACCAAACACCAAAAATAAATGATAAAAATTTAAAAAGCAACCACAAATAGCTAACAAATAAAAGGGTTGTTTTGAATCTCAGAGGGAACATATTTGGGCTCAATAGGGAGTCAACCATTCTCCATCTACGTACTTTGATTCTGTGTTTGGATGAGCCCTTTCAGATGTAACATCATCTATGTCCTCGGGCTGTGGCCTGAAAAATGGATTCGGTTCAATATTGGCTTCTTTGAAGCCACTCCTTATTCCCCCACCCAGGATTTCCCATGGGAACCTCTGAATATACAGCTTGTGTGTTTAGGCTTCAGTGGATGTGGTTAAAAGGTCTTGAGTAAGCATTCGAGCTAACAATGTATATTTGATACAGGATTCTACAGATAATGCAAAATGTAGAAACTCATAGGAACTCATATGATCAATATTTTTTAAAATCCTCCATTGAATCTTTGCTTTCTCCTAACTTCCCTTTTGGAACTCCCTTTTGGTTGAGACCACCTCAGAAGAAATGCTCACTTGTCTGACATGAACCTTAAATTTCTTTTTGTAACTTAGAGTGATTGATTATAGTTCTATCCTCAGGGGTCAAGCAGGCCAAGCTTAATTCCTTCTTCTATGTAGTAACCCTTAAGATACTTAGAGATGGCTAGCTCATCCACCCCACCCTCCCTCCCACCGGTCAGACTAGTTTTTCAGACAAAAAATCCACAATGAATTTGAAGTCTTTCAACTTCCTGATTGCCGTCCTCTGGACACCTTTCAAATCTTCCCTGAAATGTACCCAGGACTGAAGGTTCAGGTTTGACCAGGGCTGAGTACAGCAGGACTATTGCCTCTTCAGTCCTGGCCATTTTGGCTTCTGTATCACAGCTGACTATATTGAGTTTGTGATCCACTAAAACTTTTATTTTTTCTTTTGAAATATGAACTACTCCTTCCTCCCCTTGTTGATGAGTTGATGATGATGATGATTTTTTTTTTTTTGGTGACACAATTGGGGTTACGTGACTTGCCCAGAGTCACACAGCTAGTGAGTGTTATATATATCCGAGGCCGAATTTGAACTCAGGTCTTCCTGACTCCAGGGTCAGTGCTCTATCCACTGCACCACTTTGAAGTTGATTTTTGAGCACAAGTATTTCCATTATTATATTTCATCCTATTAGATTCAACCCAGTGTTTAAGCCCATTAAGACATTTTTGGATCTTGGCTCTTGTCAAATAATGTATTGACTCTTCAGCCTTGTGTCATCTCTATTGTGGATAACATTTTAATACCAGAAGAAACATCATTAGAATACTCCAAGAACAAGCTAGCATCCAGTTCAGGTCAATTATTTATTAAGCTTCTAGGCACTGGAGATACAGAGATGAAAATGAAAAATTCGCTGCTGACAAGGAGCTTACATTAATTCCAAAAGGACTACAATTTGGGTCTGGCTATTTGTAGTATGCCATGCCTGACCCAGGCTGATCACTAGACCTCAGGTTTGAGATTGAAAGAAAAGATTGGTAGAACATCGAGCAGTTAACAAAAGGCTTATTTAGCCAAGACGAGGTAACTTTAGTGAGCATACAGCATTGATTTTGCTGAGTGTAATTCTCCTGTGTCAGTATTATCTGTGATGACCTGCTGGTCAGAAGTTTGAAGGGTTCAAGTGACTACTGGTGCTCTGGCTTTTGTACGAAGAGCACGAGAAATCTCAAGCCTTTAGTCTCCTGAGCCAATTAAGTCTTAAAGATGGCTTTAATACATTTTACTTTGATTTTAAAAAAATTTGTTTTAATATTAAAATTTCCTCCAGTATCCCTTCAACTCACCCTCACCCACCAGTCATCCCATATAACAAAAAAACCCCTATTTTAATATATTATTTTCCCCAGTTACATATTAAAACAATTTTTAAACTTTTAAAAAATGTTTTGAGTTCCTAATTCTATCCCTTCTTCCCTACCCCTTCCCAGAGATGGTAAGCAGATACAGGTTTTACATGTGAGTAAAACATTTCCATACCACGTAACAATATTTTAAAAGGAAAAACATCAGCAAAACTCAGTACATCAAAAGGATCTGAAAAGATGTGCAATAGTATCATTCGTGTGGCCCTCCCATGTTTGCAAAAGGATGGGGATGAGGGTATTTTCTTTTGTATCTTGTGACGTGCCTTTTTTTTTTAATTTTGTGATATTCACTTAGCTTTTTTTACATTGTTACATTCTTTACATTGTTGTCATAGTGTATATAGTTTTATTGGCTCTGCTTACTTTACCTGCATCAGTTTCTTTAGATCTTTTCATGCTTGATATTTATCATTTATTACAGCACAGTAATATTTTATTAGATTTATAAACTACAGTTTATTTGGCCACTCTCCAACTGATGGGCATCTACTTGGTTTCCAGTTCTTTACTATCAAAACAGTGCTAGTGTATTTTGGTATGGATGGGAATTTTCTTATCAGTGGCTTTTTTGGGATATAAGCCTAATACTAGAATTTCTGCACCCTTTAGTCACTTTATTTGCATAATTCCAAATTGCTTTTCAAAATGGTTATACTGATTCATAGCTCTAATTACATTGCATAACCCCTCCAACGTTTACTATTTCCATTTTTCAGTCATCTTTACCAATTTGCAGGGCATGAAGTGAAACTTCAGGGTTGTTTTGATTTGTTTCTCTTATAATAAGATTTGGAACATTCTTTCATATGGTTAATAGTTTGCAGTTCTTTGCAAAGAACTTTTCTATCTTTTTGCCATGTAGCTATTGAGGAATGACTTTTGGATATACATACATACACATATATAAAGTCACAATAATACATGTCATATAATATATATTGTGTTTCGGATATCAAACTGTCTTCAGAAAAATTTGATAGACTTTTCCCCCATTCGATGTTTTCCCTTTAAAAAAAAACAATTTTATTAATGTAATTTGTTTTTTAAACATCACCATAACTCTCACTCCCCCAGAGTCATCCTATATAACACATTTTTTCCCAGAGGTTATATTTTTATTGGCTCATTAGATGATGCAGAACAAACCCTGGTATGTAAAACAGGAGAATCCCTGCTCTTGAAGACTTTACAATCTTAGCCTCAGCTTCAGCTCTAATGTACCCAACTTTCCCTAAGTCCCCTCTCCATAACAGTTCCCTAAAACAGACCTTCAGTGAGGAAATGTACAGTTCTTCATATACTAAAGAAATGGTACACAGCTAGTATTTATACAATACTAGCATTTTTATAGTGTTTTAAGGTATGCAAAACAATTTACATATGTTAACTTATTGGATCTTCATAACAACCCTGGGAGGTAACTGCTATTATTACATAACCTCATTTTACATATGAGGAAACTGAGACACAGAGAGGTTGTGATTTGCCTAGTCACACAACTAATAAGTGTCTGACATAGGGTTCAAACTCAGGTGTTCCTGACTCCAAGTCCAACATTCCATGTACTTCCCACCTAGTGGCTGGCCTGTGCCAGCATCCTCAGAAGTACAAAAGGAAGGGCCATAGTGTGTATAGGAAGAGCACATATCTACCTTTCCTACCCTCAGCCCTAGACTCTGATGCTGTTTAACTTGGGAGAAAGTGGCCAATGTGATTGTGTACCAATTGTTGAAAGCCTGTACTCAGCAGGGAAGCTAGATACACATGCTCGATACATCATTCAGGTCTTGAGGTGGAAGAGAGGAAGAGAGACAATTTGTGATTAGGTAAATGCCCCACAAAGGCTTGAAAGAAACCTTAAAAGGTCCTTTGGGGAAACCTTTCTGCCCAGAAACCACATGGTTTCTAGCCCAGTCATAAGGGTAGGAGCAGATGGATTCTTCTAAAGCAGAGAGAGTAACAGAGCAGGGAAGATTTCAGCTGTAGACATCATGGAAGAAGTACTATTGGTGCCCCCACATATGGAGAACCCACCCTTAGGTTCACCCCATCTTTCTTGGGTCACAGGCAGAGTATAAGCTTCTGACCCTGTTGATATAGGGCCAACCATGGTGGCACCACCTATAGTAAGCCAGGTTACTAAAGTAAATTTCATGGGGCTCTAGCTATTGCTATTACCTTATCTCCTATCAGGGCTGTAGGCTTAGGTCTAATTACTATGGGGATATTCAGCCCTGTGTCTATGGCATAAAATGTTCTTTCTTTAAAACTTTAGATCCCAATGGTCTCATGACCTGAACCAAGGCTACCAAGACTATCTTATGCTATACTTTACCTGTGTCCTTGTAACAACCAACCCCAGTGCTTTGGTCCTCTCTGTCAGGCAAGCCACATGCCTGTGACAGCACTGGTTAATGCTGACTGCCTGTTTTTGATAGCACAGCCTGGTAGCTTGCATGAAGAGGAAGAGGTGGGTACCCCTCTCTTTTTTCTCCCTCCAGGTGAGGGGGAGAGGAAGAAGTAGATGTCGGAGCTGTCAGGAGAGGAGTGAGAACATTTGGCTTATCTTGGGATGATACAGCTTTCCTGACAGGGCTTTGAAAAACATTTTTTCCTGATACAGGAATCTAAAAGCCCTTACAAGCAGGATGAGTTCCAGAGCAGAAAGCAATCAAAGGAAATGGGGGTGGGGCTGGGTTAGTGGACAAGGAAGGAGGGGCAGTCTGGAGAGGATTCACTTGAAGGGTGAGAGCCCTGGCCAGTGAGCATGGATGAGACTGGAAATCATAGGTTCTCAGAGATTCTGGGCAGACTAGGAGAAAGGTGATTGGGGCTTGAAAGATGGCAAAATCCCTTCCCCAACTCCTTCCAGTGGACTGCCTGGCATTGCAATTGCACCAAGTTGGAGACAAGCTGGAGAAAATGAATGGGCAGCAGATGAGTGAACTGTGTAGTCTGCTTCACAGTGGCTTTCTGCTCCAGAGTGGGCTTAGCTCCCTGTCTCAGCTGTTGTTGCTGGAGCTTACTGAGGTCCTGGTTGCTAGCTTCAGGACAACCCTGCTAGTGGAGCTACCCTTCCTATCCACTCTTCTAGAGGTGGTGGTGAGATAGCCATCTTATACATGGCATGATTTTTCAACCATAAGGCATAGATTGTGGATGGCCTCTAGTAACTCATGGGTCAGGTTTTCTGGAATCACCACCCACTTTTTTTCCCTCTGGCACTACTGAGTCATCCATTTTATAGTCAGGAAGTACTGGCATCTGTTATTAAGAGGAGCTGGGACCTGGAAGGAGCAGCCCTTTTTAAAGCTTCTGGCCAACCAAATGAGAGGCTGGCATTTCTTTGGTGCCTGGTGGGGTTGTACTCGGTGGCTTCACAGTCTTGCAGTGGCTACGTGGTACTTTTAAAACTGCTTTCTCTTTGGAGTTTCCAAAGTCAGTCATCAAAGCTCTGGCCAGGATTCTTTTTGTTTCTTTCATCATTATGCTAGTGAATTTACTAATGGCTGGTTCCTTAAACAAACTGCTTATCTTCTGTACTAGCAGAACTGTCCCAAAGCACTGCTGACAAGTATGACCAGAGCTGGTTGTCCCATGGATTATCTGAAACCACTCTGACCATCACAAGTTGTTCTTGATCCCTTGGTATCTGGAGGCCTAGAACTCCATAGTCATCATTCAGGCTCAGGGGTAGCTTCCCTCCAGATGGGGTCTGTGCTTCAGGGATCAAACCCGGGGGGGTTTTTTGGTCTTGTTTTGTTTTGTTTTTAGGTTATGAGGGTCCCCTTGAGCTTCTCTTAAAGGGCACTCCTTAAATGTAATCCCTGTTAATGAGAAGAATAATACAAACCATTAAAAGGCCCATACACATGTTAAGAAGACTAGCTTTCAGGTTAATTCACTGACAGCAGCCACTGACCAGTAAGGAAAATAAACAAAATGATTTAATAAGTAGAATAGCCAATAGCTAACTAGGTACAGTGCTAAACACTTTACAAATATTTGTAAATCATTTGATCCTCATATAACAAACCTGGGAGGCAGATGCTATTATTATCCCCATTTTATAGATGAAGAAGCTGAGGCAAACAGAGGGTAAGTGACTTGCCCGGAATCGCATAGCCAGTGAGTATCTGAGGCGCGAAGCAGCCTCCTTTAAGGACTTTGACCACTCAAGTGAAAGGCTGACAGTTCTTTGGCGCCTAGTGAAAGATACTGTATGAGGTTGCACTCAATGGCTTCGCAGTCCTGCTGTGGTTACGTGGTACTTTTTACCTTAGGTCTTCTTGACTCCAGACCTAGTGCACGGATCATCAAAAACATTAATGACTTAACTGTGACCCTTGGGGTCTTAACTGACACCCTAGGAGACTTTTTAGTACTTCCAGCTCAGTGTTTAAAGCAGATATGAAGTGAGAGAAAAAATCATTATGAATTACATTGGAAGGCATTTCTAAAATAGGAACTGCCATTAAATTACAGTCACAGGACCTGAGTTTGAATCTGGTCTCTATCACTTGCTTTGTGATTTGTGGGCAAATTACTTATCCTGTATGGGACTCGGTTTCCTTATCTGTTAAATGAGTGAGAGAGAAATATCAGGGGTAAAGTAAGAATGTCCATTATTGCCACTACTATTTGGTACAGTGCTAGAAATGTTAACTATAGCAATAAAAGAAGAAAAATAAATTTAGAGAATGAGCATAGACAAAGAGGAGACAGGTGATTGGTGGTTGGTTTTTTTTTCAGATTACATGATTGTTTTTAAGACCACAGACAACCAATAAAATTAACTGAAATAATTTCAGCAAAATTGGTGTACATAAAATACATCCACACAAATTATGAGCATTTCTGCATATTAACAACAAAATTCAGCAGGAGGAGTGAGAGAAATTCCATATAAAATAACTATAGAATATTTAAAATACTTGGGAATCCAATTACCAAGACATACTTGGGAACCATATTACTACAACTACAAAATACTTTATGGGAAATTAAAACAGACCTAAATGATTAGAGAAACATTAACGACTACCTAAATTAATTTACTTATTTAGTGCCACACTAATCAGACTGCTAAATGATTACCATATTAAGCTAGAAAAAATAACAAACTTCATTAGGAAAGGCAAAAAAATCAAGAATTTCAAGAGAAATAAAAAAATTGGGGGGGGGTTTAACAATATGAGATATCAAACTGTCATCAAGATGATTTAGTACTGGTTAAGAAATAGATCCATTAGTGGATCATATTGGGTATACAACCGTACAGTAGTAGCCTAGTATTTAATAAACTCAAAGACCTGAGCTACTAGAGTAAAAACTATTTGACAAAAACAGCTAGGAAAAATGGAAGGCAGGGGCAGCTAGGTGGCACAGTGGATAGAGCACTGGCCCTGGAGTCAGGAGGACCTGAGTTCAAATATGACCTCAGATACATAACACAATTAGCTGTGTGGCTCTGGGCAAGTCACTTAACCCCAACTGCCTTGCCAAAAAAAAAAAAAAAATGTAAAGCAGTTTGGCGAAAATTAGGTATAAACTAACATCTCACAATGTATACCAAGAAAAACTCCAAATGTAATTTAGACAGAATAACATTGAAAATCAGAGGCACAAAAAATAAATCACTTTTTAGATCAATGGATTTAACAAAGGATAGGATCACAGAAGATAAAATGGACAATTTTGATTATTGAGAATTAAAAAGGTTTTAATCAATTAAAAACAACACAGCTATAACTGGAAGGGAAAACGATAACTGGTGACAAATCTTTCTCTGATATAGAGGTCTCATTTCCAAAATATACAAAGAAGTGGTTCAAATTTTGAACAAGGGCAGTTTCCAGAAGAAGAAATACAAGTCATATGAAAAAATGTTCCAAATCCTAATAATTAATAATTGCCATTTAAAGCAACTCATACCCCTCAGATTGGCAAAAAAGGAAAATGACAAATGGAGGGGCTAATGGAAAATAGGGACACTTAATGGTGGAGTTGTGAATTGGTCCAGCCATTCTGGAAAGCAATTTGAACCTATTAAACAATGCACGTCCTTTGACTTGGCAAAATTATTACTTGGCCTAAACCTCAAAGAGATCAAAGAAAAAGGGGGAAGACCCCATATCCATAAAAACAGCTATTTTGTGTGTGTGGTGGCAGAGAACTCAAAAGCTAAGGGGGGTTACCCATCAATTGGGGAATGGCTGAACAAACTGTGGTATATTATCATAATGGAATATTATTAGAGGCAGCTAGGTGGCATAGTAGATAAGAGTGCTCGGTGGGCCTAGAGTCAGGAAGACCTGAGTTAAATTCAGCCTCAGAAACTTACTAGCTGTGTAACCCTGGGCAAGTCACTTAATGCTCTGTTTGCCTTGGTAAAATGAGGATAACAATAGCACCTACCTCTCAGGGTTGTTGTGAGGACTAAATGAGATAATATTTGTAAAGTACTTAGCACAGTGCCTGACACATAATACGTACTTAATGCTTATTTCCTTCCTTCTTTATTGTACTTTAAAAAATGATGAAAGGGATAGTTTTGGAAAAGCCTGGGAAGACTTGTATGAACTGATAGAGTGAAGTGAGAAGAACCAGAACTCACTCACTCTCTGTATGTATACATATATACACACGTGTGTATATATATACACACACATATACACACAACATTGAAGGAACTCTGATCAATACAATGACCAAGTTTCCCAGAGGACTGATGATGAAGCATGCTACCCACTTCCTAACAAAGAGGTGATGGATGGATGGATGGACTCAGGTTGCAAAATGAGATGTTTTTTGGACGTGACTGATAGAGGAATTTTTTTTTTTGCTTGTCTATGCATATTTGTTACTAGTTTTTTGTTTTTTTTAATAGGGGGAGAGAGGGAGTTTGGAGGGAGAGAAAATGGATTTTTGTTAATTGAAAAGAAATTAAAATTGTTTAAAAATGGGGGAGGGGTTGGAATAGATAACCTCTGAGGTCTTTTATATCTCTATATCTAAGATCTTGTGATTCAGATGTTATTTATTCTGTAAGCATCTGCTGAATGCCTACTATATATACAAGACACTGCTAGAGATAGAAATTAATGTGCTCTAACACTGTAGAGATGAAATCAACTTTACATATAAATAAAGTGAACGTTTGTCAATTCTTTTCAGAATGATAAACAAGTTGCATAACATTTTGAAAACAATTATGTTCTTTTATTAGTGTCACTAATATACTCTTGCTACCCTTTTGTTAGTTTGAATACTCTTAATATGCTGAATTAGGCAAAAAGGCTGTAGTTTAGCAATTAGGCGGAATACGTTAGAGGAAACAGCTTGGTGTAGTAGAAAAAAAAGGGTTGCTAGTTTTGGAATAAAAGGACCTCAGTTCAAATTCTCAATGTGTAACTGAATAATTCTATGATCTTAGACATGTCACTTAAACATTGTACATGGCTATAAAATGAGGGGGTTGAACTAGATAGACAGATGACCTCTAAGTTTCCTTCCAGCTATATATCTATGATCCTGTATGATATCTAATCTGTTTATATCATAATCACTGGAGGTGATATATTAAAATGGATCAGAATTTCAGTGAGGTTAGAGATGGTAAAAACTATTTCTGTTCTTTAAGTCACAAGATTTAAGACGGTGGGAAAATGTTCAGTCTGTTGGACACGTGGGTCACCTGTGGCCTTGCATCTATTCCTTCAGGAAGGTTACCTATGTGAGACAAGGAGCTTTTGAGATTCTCCATTCCAAATCACTCATTCTTCACAAACAAAGAGGCTTCCTTTCTTGAGGGTCACCCAGTTTAGTCCTGCCACAGAGACTGGAACAGAACCCATGTCTTCTAATTCTCAATCCAGTGTTTTCCAAGACACCACCTGCACCTTCTGGGCCACCAGGAAGGCACCCAGCCCTGTGGACAGGAAGTGTTATCTCACCAGAGGCATCCTGGGCCTGGCCTTGGATCCCACTCACAACACTTTGGTTGGGGATGGAGTGTGAAGGATCACAGGAGGCAGATTGACCCTGGGTCACCCCGAGGCATGGTCCCATCCGTGTACTCACAGGTTGTAAATGATTTCCTGTAGAAGTACATGACTTGTAGTATTGGTATGCATGTGGTTGAATTCCACCTTTCTGGGGCTTCCTCCTCCAGTTTAGGGCTCTTGATACCACACACTCCTAAGCTCCTGGCAGAACACATCAGGCAAGTAGTATTAAGAGGAAAGGCAGGACACATTCCCATTCCCATGTGTGACTTTGAATTGTCAGACCTTGAATTTACGTAGGCGTGATCCTGTTTGACCATGCCCTTCTCTGAATTCAGCCATACAGTGCACTGGGATAGGGTGGGCTACTTCTCCCGCTCAGCCCACGAATGGGTGTGGGATGTTTGGCTTCATGCAGGAAAAGTGCAGCAGCTTTTTGAAGCCAAATGGAAGTTTTCTAAGTGAAGGGAAGGATGGACCAGTTTGGAAGACAAAGGCCAGAGGCCTGTCAATTTCACCATGCCAACATCTATCCAAGATAGATTTTTTTCCTCTCTTGACAATGCCACCACTCTAGTGCAGACCTTCATCACCTCACATATGAACCACTTCAATCATTGCTGGTGGGTCTGCCAGCTTCAAGTCTCTCCCCTCTCCAATCTATCCTTCATTCAGCCACCAAAGTGATTTTCCTAAAGCCAGGTCCAATCATGTTACCCTCCCTCTCCCTATCCACTCAATAAACTCCAGTGGCTCTCTGTTGCCTCCAGGATCAAATACAAAATGCTCTGTTTGGCATTCAAAACCCTTCATAACCTAGC